GTAGCACATACTAGAGAAAGAGCTTCTTGTGGTGATGGCAAAAGTACAACAGGACCAAGCTAAACATGCAAGCATAACATCTCTGTTTCTCTCATATCTGATAGCATCCCATTGGCTAAGACAAATCAACATGGTTGAGCTCCAAATCAAGGCAGAACAAGTATACTATGGTCTCTGTAAGGCCAATGCAAGATACATGGCCTCACTGAATACCAGTGGGTCAGAGAAAGGATTGCATTATTTTAACTAATAAGTTCATTTTATTATTTCCATTTCAAATTTAACATTATAAGAATTTTTCTTAACTTGTTTTTTTGATTTATTTCTATTTATAATTGTGACAAAATACACATAACATAAAATTTTCCATCTTAACCATTTTTAAGTGGAATTAAGTATGTTCACACTGTTTTGCAGCCATCACCACTATCCATCTCTAGAATCATTTTCATCTTGCAAAACTGAAACTCTGTATCTATTAAATAATCATTCCAAATTCCCCTGGGATGGAGAACTTCTTTAAAAAAAATAATTACCACCCATTTTTAATGGGAACAAAGCTTATTTTTATAGACATAATTGGCATATAGCATGCATTTATAGTTGTCAGCCCAACCTATGCCTAAGGTGTATTCTATCCAGGATACAGACATGTCTTCAGACCCAAGGTGGAAGCCCCACAAAAGTCTGTTTTACTGAGATAAAGAAGCCTGTTGGGAAGGGATTCGTTCCAAGTTTAGGCCGAGAAGCAATATGGGTCACAGCCAGGGAGCCTGCATTAGAAAAATGGGTTGACATTTAGACCCATGTCCATCAATCACTCAGCAGGGAAGTCTACCTAATTCTCAGGTTCCAAGCAGTAGTAGGTTAATCGAAGGGGGAAAAAAGTGAAGTGTGCTTTTACTGAAATCTACATGGAGTGTTAGGAGCTTAGGGCATCAGCAGCATATAACTGGCAGCTTCAGGAGTGACCAGTACAGGAGCCAACCAGCTGGCAGCAGGAGGGGCTTTAGCAGTGTTAAATCCTGGAGCCCATGAGACGGAGCTCAGTATCCTTATCATCAGCCACCAGTGGTGGGACTCAGACTGGGTGGGCAGTGGTTGTGAGGTCCTTTAGGCAAGACCTGTTTCTAGCAGCAGGAGCAGGAGGCATCACTACAGAGCCCTGGGAAATGACAGGCATTATTCAGTAGCCAAGGGAACTGCTCGAGTAATTAGAGAAGCACTGAAGTCTCCACCATGTGGAATGCTGAAAAACCCTAGAAATACTGGGTTCCAGGGACAATCTGAGAGAGAAGAGCCATAAGGAGTCCTGGGTGCTAGTCTAGAAACCACAGCTTGCTATGAGTATGACTAGGGCAATTCATTGAATCTCTCTGGGTCTTTGTTTTCTCTCCTGAAAGTAAGAGAATTGGGATACATGATTTGCCTGGTCTTTTCTAACTGATATTATATTACCTGAATATTATATGGATGTTGTTATATGATCTCAAGACAGGCTTTACATTCATGCCAGGTTTTGGTTGTAGAAAGTCTGTATTCTTTATTTAATTGATTAATTAATTAGAAGGAGTCTCACTCTGTCAACCAGGCTGGAGTACAATGGCGCCATCAGAGCTCGCTGCAGTCTCAAACTCCTGGGCTCAAGCAATTCTCCTGCCTCAGCCTCTCAAGTAGCCGGAACTACAGACATGCACCACCACGCCCAGAAAAATTTTAAATTTTTTTGTAGAGATAGGAACTTACATATTTCCCAGGCTGGTCTCAAACTCCTGACCTCCGCCAATCTTCCCTCCTCAGCCTCCCAAAGCACTGGGATTATTGGTGTGAGCCACCATTACCAGCCAATCTCTCTGAGTCTTTGTTTCCCCATCTGAAAATAAGAGAATTGGGATGCATGATTTGCAAGAGCTTTTCAAACTGAAGTTATATTATCTGAATGTTGTGATTTGCTCTCAAGCCAGCCTCTAAGTTCATGCCAGCTTTTGGTTGTGTAAAGCCCATAGTCTTAAACCATGCTTTAAAAAAAAAAAAAAAAAGAAGGAAAGAAAAGAAAGAGGCAGTTTCTCATTTCTTTCCAAGCATAAATATTAGCTTAAGCATTAAGATAGACAAGGTCTTTGGCATGATGGCATTGTATAACTGGATTATTGCATGCAGTCTTATTTGAGGAATTCAGTAAGAAGTTACTTTGCATCAGCTTTATCTGTATTTAGCATTTAACCAGATTAAACCGAATTGGGGGCCTTTAGACTCAATGGCAAAAATGGTTTTACATAATAATAGCAGGGTGCTTTTTACATATTCATGATCTCTGTTTGAACATGTTAAATTCAAGATACCAGATACATGTCTGTATGGAGTCCTTAATTCAGTATTTGGGCATACAGTCTCTCTGGACATAAAACCTAGGTGTTTCTAAGCATTCATTTGGTATTTAATCTCACCAAGACAGCATGTGTATTTCATAAAGGTAGAGAGGAGATCAGGAAAGCAGAAAGTGTCTTGAGGCTCACAACATTTAAAGTGCAGACTGGACAATGGACACTCAGAAGTGGCGCCAGGCCAGGAAATACGTTTAGTTGTTATTTGATTGTTTCTTTGAGTGTTTTGCACCCAGTTAGCCTACACATTTGTTTAAATTATTAAATTGATGGTCATATAACTGCACATGCAAATCTGTGTGTCTGTCTTCTCTTTAAAAATTGGAAGCTGCTACAAGGGTGACATCCTTTAGGAAGGGTGCAAGCTCTCGGCTGGCAAAGCTCCCTCCCCATATCGATGGCTAAACTCAGGCCATTTCCCATCCAGCCTCTGTAATTATGTGGGGTGTGATCCTGATTCTGAGGTCCATGAATGGGGAAGAACCAGCAAATAGAGACTCAGAAGAAAGAGGGACACAATAGTAACCTCAGGGAGTGTGTTCAAAGAGGAGCGCATTCCTGAGCAAGGGAATGGCTCACTCTGACAGGTGTTGCTGGAAAGCCAGGGAAGAGATTCTGCCACACCGTGTGCACTGGCCTTGATGCCCAGTGTCCTCAGTGACTCTGGGGGAGCTGTCTGCATGCACCAAGGCTGGTGTGAGGGCAAAAGCAGATGCAGAGTGAGGTCAAGCTCACACGCCAGTTCACACATTGGATTGTCAGTGCTCCCAGATACACGGCGATGAGGGTACAGTGTCAGGAGAGAACAGTTAGGTACACTAAAAGCCCAGACTCCACCACTACACTAGATGCATGTAAGACATCTGCACTGCACCCCCTAATTCTATAAACATTTTTAAAAATTAAAAGTAAATAAAATTAGGCAGTGTATGGTGGCTTATGCCTATAATTCCAGTGCTTTGAGAGGCCAAGGCAGGAGGATCACTTGAGCCCAGTAGTTTGAGACCAGCCTGGGCAACATAGTGAGACCCTATCTCCTCAGTAAACATTGGAAAGAAAGAAATTGCCAGGCCGGGTGGTCCTCACCATCATCCCAGCTACTCAGGAGACTGATGTGGGAGGATCACTTGAACCCAAAAGTTCAAGACCAGCTTGGGTAACATAGTAAGACCCTTGCCTCTAGAAAATAAAAACAAACAAAAAAATATTACCCAGGCATGGCAGTGTGCACCTGTCTAGTTCTAGCTGCTCAGGAGGCTGAGATGGGAGAATCACTTGAGCCCAGGAGTTGGAGGCTGCAGTAAGTTATAATCACACCATTGTACTCCAACCTGGGCAACAGAGCCAGAACCCTGTCTCAAATTTTTTAAAATAAAAATAAAATTATTTAATAGAACAAAAAAATTGTTCAATTTCTTTCACTTTACAGTTAAGAAAACTAAGATTCAGAGAACTGATATGATTAACACCTACCCCTGACCCCCCACCTAGAATAAAGGTCATAAAATTTCTTCCCGGGCCGGTGAGAAAATAAAGGATAAAAATTTCTCCCCAGGCAGATGAGAAACAGAAAGAGAAAGTAGTGAGTTCTGTCTCCTGATGTCAGGGTCAGAGCCGCAGAGACTTGGTTCTGGAAGTGTTTGAGAGTAGGAACCTGGCTCAAGGCTGTGAACCAGGAGCTGGGAGAGGTGTTGCCTACTACTGCCGATGTAGTAGTAGTACTGCCGATGTGAAGACTAGAAGGACATTGATATTGAGTAAGTAAGACCTCAGGCTACCACACTGCACACCTAGCTGCCACCTTCCCTTCCAGGGAACCAAGCTAGGCCTCTCTCTGGCTGGGAAACCTGTTGAGCAACCTCCTCATATTTGTTGCCAACATAAGCTCTGGTTCTAAATGGAGAAGCTGTTGCAGGGTGGGGCAGCAAAACCGCAAGAGTGAGAAGAGAGGCAAACAGCAAAATGAAGTAGAAAGCCCACATCCTCCTCAACAAGAGGGGGTAGAACTCAAAGGAAGCAGGCTGCTGGAACACGTACACAGACCTCCATACAAGCAAGACATTGTGTGTGTGTTCAAGCCGCCATCCTCCCCAAAGATTCCTTCACCTGTTATTCTCACAAGGAATGAAATGCAGTGAGGTGAGAGAGTGTTGGGAGGGCAGACATGGATGATGGATGAATTCTCTTCCCTCTGTACGTTTTCCAGCACAAAGAGCTGCCCCAGGCTGTCGACCCCATACACTGAGTTTTGAGAGGTTTCTATGTTTCCTTAGAAAGTTACAGTGCCTTAGAAAGGCACAGTGGTTCAGGCCTGTAATCTTAGCACTTTACAAGGGTGAGGCAGGAGGATTGTTTGTGCCCAGAAGTTCGGGACCAGCCTGGGCAACATAGCAAGACCTTATCGCTACAAAAACCACAAAAATTAGCTGAGTATGGTGACACATGCCTATAGTCCCAAGTACTTGGGAAGCTGAGGCAGGAGGATTGCTTGAACCCAAGACTTCAAGGTTGTAGTGAACTAAGACCTAACCACTTCACCCCAGCCTGGGCAACAGAGCAAAACCTTGTCTCGAGCCGGCATCTTTCAGTTCCTTTTTGTGTCCTTGTCCTTTACAGAAAGATGAAGATCCCTTTCCTCCTACTGTTCTTTCTCTGGGAAGCCCAGAGCCACACAGCATCAAGGCCGAACATCATCCTGGTGATGGCTGATGACCTCGGCATTGGAGATCCTGGGTGCTATGGAAACAAAACTCTCAGGTTGGTAATGCAGCTCCTCAGTAAACACATGGCTGTACTCATAGGCAACAGTCCCCAGCATTGTTACTGTTGATCTACAGAGCACAGAACATGTAGAAACGTTCAAAACCCTCCAAACCATGCCTGGCTTCATGTAGATACACTGAGATGTAGGTGTCTGCTTCTACCAGAACTTTCTTTTTTCTTTTTTTTTTTTTTTTTGAGAAGGAGTCTCACACTGTCACCCAGGCTGCAGTGCGGTGGCACGATCTTGGGAATCACTGCAACCTCTGCCTCCTAGGTTGAAGCCATTCTCCTCCCTCAGCCTCTCGAGTAGCTGGGACTATAGGCGTGTGCCGCCATGCCTGGCTAATTTTTTATATTTTTAGAAGAGTTGGGATTTCACTATGTTGGCCAGGCTGGTCTCAAACTCCCGACTTCGTGATCCACCCGCCTCAGCCTCCCAAAGTGCTGGGATTACAGGCGTGAGCCACTGCACTGGACCAGAACTTTCTTGTAGGATATATGAATACTAAATACAATACCTGAAGCCAGAAATGGACCCATTGCCAAGTGCCATGGGACACTGATTTTTTTTTTTCATACCATTCTCTTACTCCTCATCTTCTTCTTAACAAGAGAAATCTTGGAAACTATATTTCGTCATTACATATCAGACCAAACAAAAATTAAATAGATTATTATATTAAGGAAAATCTTTCCCACAACACATAGCCAAATGTATCTCACTTTCAATCTGAAACTTTGCATCAAATGTTGCTTTTTATTTTTTTAAGAGTATATTGACCTATGACATTGCTTAAATTTTTAAAAAGCATATGCAAGGATAAGATCTGCAATTTTAAGAGGGCACTTTAAGTGTCCCACCTTTTGCCTACTTTTGTAAAATGTTTACAGATCACTTTATACATTTGTGATATAGATCTTATTAATTTAGTTTTTCTTATCAGCATCATGATTTTATGCAGCTTTTTCATTTTATCTATTTCTTTAATATTATATATTCCTAAGATATATTAAGATAATAGATAACTGTTCCTACCAAGATGTCTTAATTAAAAAGTTAAAATCAAGTCTTTAAGGTTAAATCTTTACCAGTTATCAAAAGAAAAAATGTCTATAAGGCCCCATGGAAGAATCCATGGCAATATCTACCCTAAATCTGCCTTGGTCTCTATATTAGAGTCCCATTATTTCTGAATTACGTTTCTCATTTTTATATTTTGTAATATCACACCCCAAAATAGTCACTTTTTTTTTTGTAGGCCAGTATAGATACTAGGAGATTTAATTCAAATGCAAAAACAGTCTCTGTCTTCTAAGCATCTTACCCTTTAAGAAAAAAGCAAAATAGAATTATTTGTAATTAAACACATTCACTAAATTAATAAATGATCACTAGTTTGACATTACAGATGCAATGAAATTATTTCCCCCTTCAATATGCATCACTGCAGTACTACTCTGTAAGGGCATTGGTCTAGGGAAGCCATGGGACCAATGAACAAGATGTATACTCCCATCCTACAGGCAGCCATCTTGAAGGGGAGCACAATTAGCCATGCCATTGCTTTACAGTGAGGAAGCTGCTGGTCTGGTGGAGTATGGACTACTGTTCCAAATATAGGTCAATCCCCTTGCATAAACAAGGAAGGGTGCTGGAGGCTCATGAGAATTCCATCTGTACCTGGAACTGAAGGATGGCAGATGATAAGCCAGGCAGGGAAGAAGGGACCTGGATTCCTGGTGGAAGACATGGGATATAGCTTGTGGGGTATAGCTTGGTATGGTCCAAAAACTAAAAGATACTAATTGCTAAATGACTTCCCAAAATGATCAGCCAATCCATTCATAGAGAAAGGCATCAGGATGGCTTATCTTGCAAAAGGTATCACTCTACAAGTGAACTCATAAATAAGACTTTATTAAGCATAAAAATATAAGCCAACAAAGGGTATTTGGGAGTCACAGCATCTAGTTTCTTCACTGTAGTATTTGTGCCTTTTCCCTGGAGCATATTAACCCATTTGTTGATGCTCACTGGTTGAGGCACATGGAGTCTGATTATTCCCTGTCCCTGGGGGCATGTGGAAATTAGGCGGGGGCTCATTAAAGCTGCTTGTGGAATTCCCTTTGGCTGTGGTTGGGAAGAGAGGGGAGTCAGATTGACCATGGAGATTTCTTCTTTGGTGACACAGAGGTAACTTGGGAGATGTGGATGGGAGAAGAGTGAAGCCTCATCTTCATTCACCCCTTCTTTCCCTCCCTGCAGTATCCTATTTTGAAGACTTGGTTTCTCTCTTCTAATTCAGGGTTAGTGAGACCAGGAGCTCAGAGCCCTCTGTAGCATGAATGGACCTTCTGGGGATGCCCCGCCTGCATCATTCACACATCTCCATGGTTTTGTTGCAGCTTGAGTCTTGATTCTGTATCACTTCTTCACCACCTCCCCTGCCTCTCATCTTGCCTCTCTCCCGCATAACCCCAGACTCACCCTTGCTCATTGAGAAGTTTCCCACTATAAAGAGCCACAGACAATTTCATTTTGAAAATTATCACAGAGCTGGCCACAGTGGCTCATGCCTATAATCCCAGCACTTTGGGAGGCCGAGGTGGGCAGATCACTTGGGGTCAGGAGTTTGAGACCAGCCTGGCCAACATGGTGAAACCCTGCGTCTACCAAAAAAATACAAAAATTAGCCAGGCATGGTTGTGCGTGCCTGTAGTCCCAGCTACTCACAAGGCTGAGATGAGAGAATTGCTTGAACACGAGAGGTGGAGGTTGCAGTGAGCCGAGATCGCGCAACTGCACTCCAGCCTGGGTGATAGAGTAAGATCCTGTCTCAAAAATAAATCCATGAACATTAAGTGAAAATGATCACAAATGCTATGATTCTTTTGTTCCAGGACTCCCAATATCGACCGGTTGGCCAGTGGGGGAGTGAAACTCACTCAGCACCTGGCAGCATCACCCCTGTGCACACCAAGCAGGGCAGCCTTCATGACTGGCCGGTACCCTGTCCGATCAGGTAACCTCCTATCTGCATCGCAGGGGCTGTGGTCTCCTTCAGGACAGCCTCCCACCTCCAGGTATCTCCTGGTTCCTAAGGGTTGATTTTTTTCCTCGTTCAGGAATGGCATCTTGGTCCCGCACTGGAGTTTTCCTCTTCACAGCCTCTTCGGGAGGACTTCCCACCAATGAGATTACCTTTGCTAAACTTCTGAAGGATCAAGGTTATTCAACAGCACTGATAGGTATGGGCATCTATGGGATGGGAACCATCTATAGGTATGGGAACGGCAGGGAGGACTTGGACAAAGTTAGCAAAAGAGCGGGAGAGGACATCATGACAGTTATCTTAGGGATGACATTGCTGGTACACTTTGCACAACTTTAAATGGGAACAAAATGATTTCATTTGTAGGCTAAAACACAATGAGTCTATCTGGACTACTCGAATGTATAGATGTGTGTGTGTGTGTTGTGTGTTTGTGCGTGTGTATGTGTGTGTTGTGTGTGTGTGTGTTGTGTGTGTGTATAGATAAATAGATACTTAGGTGATACCTAATGATAGATGGATGAATGGATGAATGGATAGATGGAAGAAAGCATTGATGAACGGTTGGATAGATAGATAATAGGTAGAGAAATAGCTAGCTAGCTAGATAGATAGATAGATGGAGAGAGAGACAAAGGTGAGATAGATGGGATGGATGGATGGATGGATGGATGGATGGATGGATGGATGGATGGATGGATGGGTGGGTGGAATAGATGATAACTAACTAGCTAGCTAGCTAGATAGATAGTGAAATAGAAAAATAGATAGATAGATTAGATAGATAGATAGATAGATAGATAGATAGATAGATAGATAGATAGATAGATAGATGCAGAGAGGGACAAAGATGAGGTAGATGGGATGGATGGATGCATGAAATAGATGATGATAGATATGACAGATGGATAGATAGATAGATAGATAGATAGATAGATAGATAGATAGATAGATAGATAGATAGATAGATGTTATAGATAAATAGATGCAGGGAGATAAAAATGACAGCATGGATAGATAGATAATGAGGCAATTGGATGGATGAAATAGATGATAGATGGAACAAATGAAAGATAGACATATACATAGAATGTACAAAACTATACACACCATGCTATTGATAAAGATTTTCATTTTACTTTCCAATATAAAATTATGTCAGAATTTGTCTTGGTTGACACACCCACTGATTTTATGCTGTAGATAGGATTGAAGCCTTCCTGTTTGCATGAAGAGCTTCAATCTAAGCAGGCCATAAAATGAATCCTAGCAAATCTCAGAGGAGCAAAATGACCCTTTCCTTTCTTCCAAAATCTTGTTAAAAAACTATCATTTTTTTCTTTTGTAAGGCACTCATTAATTTAGTGATCTAATTAACATTTTATAAGAAATTTTCAGAGGTGCTTAAAATAATTGCTGAGTTACTGAGTGTGATTTCCTCATGCCTCAGGGCTAGGTTCTGAAGTAAGGATTCATTTCCACTTTTAACATTCAAGGAACAAAATTAAGTTGCTTCTAAAACTTTAATTTTAAGGGCCTAGCTCAGAAAAGCATCTGACCAGGAAAAAGAAAAAAAAAAAACTTGTGTTTTTCTTTAAAGTGTAGTTTCCTGTCTATTAAAGATGTTAGCTAGTTTTCTTTTTGGATTTTTATCTGATTGGGGTTTTTGTGGTTGTTGTTTTGTTTTGTTTTGTTGAAATCACTAAATTAGTTCGTATTTCTTGGTAGAGTGAGTAGAGGATTTTTATCTGGTTGAGATTTTGTTTTTTTGTTTTGTTTTATTGTAATAACTAAATTAGTTCTTATTTTCTGGTAGAGTGAGTAGGTAATACCTTAGCGTTTGTGGGGAAAAAAAGTGAAAAACTCTAGGGTCCTATGAGCGGGAAGGCTAGCTTCATGAAATAGTCAGAGCCTCCTTTTCAGTGCGTGGGAACAGAAGCTTGGATTTGAATCAGTGTGTTTATTGGGACTGAAGTGATCCCCCATTTGTCTTCTCAGGGAAATGGCACCTTGGAATGAGCTGTCACAGCAAGACTGACTTCTGTCACCACCCTTTACATCACGGCTTCAATTATTTCTATGGGATCTCCTTGACCAATCTGAGAGACTGCAAGCCCGGAGAGGGCAGCGTCTTCACCACAGGCTTCAAGAGGCTGGTCTTCATCCCCCTGCAGATCATCGGGGTCACCCTCCTTACCTTTGCTGCACTCAATTGTCTGGGGCTACTCCGCGTGCCTCTAGGCATTTTTTTCAGCCTTCTCTTCCTAGCAGCCCTAATCCTGACCCTTTTCTTGGGCTTCCTTCATTACTTCCGGCCCCTGAACTGCTTCATGATGAGGAACTATGAGATCATTCAACAGCCCATGTCCTACGACAATCTCACACAGAGGCTAACGGTGGAGGCGGCCCAGTTCATACAGCGGTGGGTATTGCCTTGTCCTCTGATGCTGCCTGTTAGAAAACATTCTGGGTGATTTCTCGTGGAGGTGGAAGAACCAGCAGAGGTTTTTTTTTTTTTTTTTGAGATGGAGTCTTGCTCTGTCGCCCAGGCTGGAGTGCAGTGGCACGATCTCAGCTCACTGCAAGTTCTGCCTTCCCGGGGTTCATGCCATTCTCCTGCCTCAGCCTCCCAAGTAGCTGGAACTACAGGTGCCCACCACCATGCCTGGCTAATTTTTTGTATTTTCAGTAGAGACAAGGTTTCACCGTGTTAGCCAGGATGGTCTCGATCTCCTGACCTTGTGATCCGCCCGCATCGGCCTCCCAAAGTGCTGGGATTACAGGCGTGAGCCACTGCGCCCGGCCAGAACCAGCAGGATTATTATGCTAGTCACATTTTCCCTTCCATGCCTAACACATTTCTTCAGCCAACACTCACCATAGCACATGTTTAATGGCCTTAGAAAGGTATTTCAATGCAGTGTGCTCTCCTTAGAGTGTCTTTGCCAACATTCCCCACATCCTGGGCTGGAAAGGCCACGGCAAAATAATGTCTGCTGATGACAAAGGAGGTGTCAGATATCCTGCGGGCCATTTTTTTTTTTTTTTGAGATGGAGTCTCGCTGTGTTGCCCAGGCTGGAGTGCAAATGATGCCATCTCTGCTCACTGCAACCTCCATCTCCCAGATTCAGGTGATTCTGCCTCAGCCTCCTGAGTAGCTGCAATTGCAGGTGTCTGCCACCATGCCTGGCGAATTTTTTTTTCTCTTTTTAGTAGAGACAGGGTTTAACCAACTTGGTCAGTCTGCGTTTTGAACTCCTGACCTCAGGTGATCCACCCACCTCGGCCTCCCAAAGTGCTGGGATTACAGGTGTAAGCTAGGTACCCAGCCCCACTGGTCTTTAATCTTCAAATGTGGCCATCAAGAGAGGCAAGAAAATGGCTTATGTTTAGTTTAGAGGTTGTCCTTGTGATATAAACAATGTGGAAAGATCCAAAATATTTTGGGTTAATCTCTGAGCAAACAAAGCAGAACAAAAAGCTCTGTGAGTAAACTGGGTGAAGTGAATGATGTCTTTTGGGTCTTTCGGGTCCCATTGAGTTTATTGTTTTGGGGATTGCAATCTGTAAGTGGAGTAACCATTAACAGCGGAGCAGACAACATTCCTGAGTTACATAGGTAGGTATAATATATATCTATATTATAATACATAATATAGAGAGCATAAGCAGATATAATTAAGCAGATATTATATAGAGCCTATGTCAAGAGCACTTGCTATTCAAAACAAGCAAATACTGTGGAGGACAGGACTTTAAAGAGAAATGGAAAGTTCGTCTGAAAATCAGACGTTTGGTCTTTATGGTGACTTAAACTCTATGGGAGATTTAAAAGAGAGTTTGGGTGGTGATTTAAAAATTATAAAGGAGATAGAGGAAATATAGGTAATATTGGTTTGTCATCCAATTAATTGCATGACACAAAACTGTAAAATGAATCTCTGGATTGAACAATGAATGACAGTGAAAAGGAAGTTATTGTGATGAAGGGAAAGTATATTAGGGATTTAATTTTAAGCAAATATGCTCAGTCTAAGAAGAAAATACATAGTTAAGGTATGTGGAAGCTACATAAGTTAGGGCTGGTGAGAAAGGTAAAAAGTAATGTACTCTATGAAAATTATGTTGTCATTTCCTCACGTGGAAGATGTTGTGTTCCTATGTCCAGATCTTGTGGGCATGGAGTTGATGCTTTACTGGAGTTTGGAAATGGGCAGTGGTTCTCCTCACTCTCTTCTTCCAGTTATGAAACAACATAGGAGCAACCCATTCACCTGGAGGTACAACAGTGTCCTGCTACCCACAACATCACAGATTATGCAATAGATAAATCATAGGGTGTATTTTATTATATCTCTCTGGTACCACAAAAGTGTTTCATCGACTCTGACAGAAACCCACATATGGTTTGGGTGTCTGAACAGACTATGAAGTGACTTACTCAAAAGTTGCAATTGATAGTATCACTTCCTCCCTCTAAAAATGAGACAAAAATAGAATGATTGGTTCTTATAGTTCACACTACCTCTCAGTTCAACAGATTTTATTAAAATCTAAATTGTCATTTAACTGTGAAATATATAAACTGGTCATTGGTCATTGTAAGTATTCTCAGTTTCAGCCTCTGGGACTTGGTTCCAGAGAGTACTCTATGTACTGGCTGCCCAACTGCTGAGGGAGCACCACATAATTTAAGTTTTTATTTTGGTTAACATCCCACTTCTGCTGCCAGGGTCTGTTTTTGTCAGTGAAGACTGACAAAATCTCAGTGGATTCATACTTGAAAATTTGTTTCTTGCCCATGCAAAATCTATTGCTGGTTGGGTGATGCTCTAGGGAAGCTTTGCTCCATGAGGAGACTCAGGGATCCAGGTTGCTAGTATCTTGTAGTTCTGTCAATCTCAATAGATGGCCTTCCCAATAGCATCCACAGGAGAAAAGAGTTGAAGGGTCTCTTGAGGACTTTTCCTTACTTCACTGACCCAGGGGTCAGCATGTAGACCAGGCCCCACATCTCCACCCTGACTTGACATGGGGCTAAGAGGTAGTCTCCCCATGTCTTCAGGAAGAAGAAAATGAAATGGCCTTACTGAACATATAGCAGTGATTTTCCTACTGCGAGCAGTGATTTTCAAATTTGTTTTAAAGCTGAGGAATATTTCAGATGAAATTTTATGAGCAGCTAAGTATGTCAGAGGGATAAAAGTTGCAGTGCTTGGGTTAACCTGGAACAGAGGACTGCGTTTGGAAATTACTGACATTTAATAAAGCCCCATGGAAACCTCATGAACAGCTGGAGAGAAAGGGCAGACTCTGCAACAAAAGAATAAAAGAACATGTGAGCAAACACCTACTTAGTGCAGACTCTAGGCAAATTAATATTTAACAGACATTCGTAAGTGAAAAAGGGAGGCACACCAGGAGAAAAATCAACACCAGCCTTGGAATTTTAAAAAAGAATTATTTGATATTACAGCTATGTGAGTGGAAGTGGAAGGAATTTGCCCAAGGTTATAGATAAGTGTAAACGAAAGGGGCTAATTTATTATGAAATTTGGATTGCAGACATGTACCACATAATAACATTTTGGTCAACAATGGACCATGTATATGACGGAGGTCCCATGAAATTATAATGGAGCTGCCTTATGCAGCTGTATGTTTGTATCTTTTTTGTTTTTTGAGACAGACTCTCACTCTATTGCCCAGGCTGGAGTGCAGTAGTGCGATCTCGACTCACTGCAATCTCCCCTTCCCGGTTTAAGTGATTCTCTGCCTCAGCCTCTGAAGTAGCTGGGATTACAGGTGCCCACTACCACGTCCAGCTAATTTTTGTATTTTCAGTAGAGACGGGGTTTCACCGTGTTGGTCAGGCTGGTCTCAAACTCCTGACCCTGAATGATCCACCTGCCTCGGCCTCCCAAAGTGCTGGGATTATAGGCATGAGCTACCACACCCGGCCACATTTGTATCTTTTATACTGCATTTTTTCCTGTACCTTTTCTATGTGTACATATATCTAGATACACAAATACTTTCCATTGCATTGCAGTTGCCTGCAGTACTCAGTACAGTCACATGCTGTGCAGGTTTGTAGCCTAGGAGCAATAGGCTCTACCATATAGCCTGGGTGTGTAGTGGGCTGTACCATCTAGGCTTGTGTAAGTGCACTGTACGATGTTTGCAGAATGATGAAATTGCTTAATGATACATTTCTCAGAACATATCTCTGTCACTATATGATGCATGTCTGTACTTGAAGCATTGATGTGAAGTATACTGTTTATTGGTATTTTAATATTTTCATCAGAGAAAAATAGAGTAAAGAAAATCTATAGTTTGGTGTTGTATGTGTGTATGTGTCTGTATATATATATGTAAATACATATGTGTGTGTGTTTGTGTATATATATGTGTGTGTGTGTGCTTTACACACATATGTATTTAACTTATAAAGAGATAAATTATTGAAATTGATTTCCAAGGGAAGCTATAGGAGAGATACATGTACAGCAGCAGCAAGTATTAATGTAAAGAATAAAGAATTTTCTGCCCAGGGATGGATAATAGCCACTAAAAGTCCTTTAAGCAACTATTTATAGGTCTGTCAGAATTCAGATAAGAAGTGGGCTATTTGTCATGATTTTCATAGGTTTGGGCTGGCAGGCACATGCTGGAGGGGTTGTGAGTCGTTCTTGGGCAATATGCGTGTAGTCTGGGTGCCTGTCCTGGGTAGACGTTGGGGTCTGTGGGTAGCCATAGCTCCATCATGTCATGCCCATGCTGACAGCCTGTCTTACCCAGGTGCCAGAGACTGCAGAAACCTATCGGATTCTGCTCACAGCAAAATGGCATGGTGAAGGATGTCATGCAATTCCTAAGAGAGGAAGGAAGACTTCAAGCTGTCAGTCACACTCCTGAACATTTGATTTCAAGTATTATTTGTACAGAGATACTGCGGAGTTATCAGTGCCCATGGTCAACCCACACAGCCAGAAGCAGGCATTGCAGGGCTGGCCACCTGCCTCCTGGGCATGGCACTTGGTTCAGAACTATGCATTGTAGGTGACCTTTGCTAGGCTAGTGTATGGTGGCATATAATACAGGATCACTATGACTTCCTGCAGGTAGACAAAGAAGGGAAAAGGGAGAGTCCAGAACTACAGGGGTAGACAGGCGATACCTCAGACTTTGCATAAGGAAAACCCCGGAGATGCTTATTGCAGCTGAAGATGGCCAAGATGAACTCTTGGGACTGTCACAGAGTAGTTCCAAAGCGAGACTTTGCATCAGCATTTTACTAAGCTTCTCAAGACATTCTAAACTGGGTGTTTCATAGGGCACTCTGAGAAACACTGGGTTTTGTATATGTGTATGAGCTTTGGCTACTGTGCAGAAACACTGCAGTTATTTGTCACCTA